ATGTAATTTACATGATGTTTTCCCTAGCCGCTTACCCTAAATATCAAAAGTAAATGCCTAACCCTAACAATAACCTAATTGTAACCTTGACACTAAAACCACATTTTGAGTCTCAAGAATGCCTTCAAACTCGTGAGGACAGACACTTTGGGCTGTGACTGTTGGTCCCCACAAATATAGTAACATTCCAACTTTTGGTCCCCACAAAGATATATAAACAGGTACAGACACACACCAGACTAAAACTATACTAAACACTATGATACTGAATCACTTTGCATAAGAATACTGGAAGTCATTTGCGTTAGAATCTTGCATTTGCAGTGCATTATGGGATGTGTAGTTCCTTCACTGTTAAGAGTGGTTCTGTACACAGCCTGGTACCTGCGGCATGTATGAATTTGTCTTTACATAAACTATGTGCATGCATGCAGACACAAAGTCTCATACACAGAGAGAGCACCACTTCTACACCCGTTCAATGATGAAACATGAAAGTCCAGATGTGACACTGTGTGGATATGAGGAGGCTTTAGCTGTTGGTGCAGTCGCTGTGTTTCTGGCTGTGGGTGGAGACGGCTTGGAGCAGCAGCGTCCTTCTGTCAGCAGAGTTGAACAGAAACAAAGGAGCCTCTCTGCTGCAGATCCCCGTCAATCGATCGGCAGGCTCCGAGCCCCAGCTGAGCTCTCCGTGTTCAATACATCCACACACAGCAGGCCAATCTGTCAGCCAGCAGGCCCACACACACACACACACACACACTGCAGCGTCTGTCTTCACCAGTCATTTTAATCATGCTTTTGCTGTTGAAATCTTGCAATAAGTGAGAAATAATAAGAGCGCGACCTCTCCATCCTTACTCATAATGCAGCTCTGTGTGTCTCGAGGTGGACATAATAATGTGAACATGCTACATGCTGTCAGAGAGGCATCACCTTTTTTAATGAGTGGCCAGCTGTTATCTGGCTGCCACACATTAATAATAAAACAGCAGCGTCTGGCTGTGTTAATAAACCACAGAGGATAATACTTTAAATAACACTGTAATTGTTTGTTTTTTAAACAAACAGGAATTTTAATTATACTTTTTTATTTAAAGCTTCTATAAATGTGTCTGTAACAAGAGATACGAACACTGGAACGCCCTGTTTAGAGAAATCGTGTTTCCAGCGTCGCAGCCAGACTACCGACTACTGAGTGAGTTCAAGAGAGATTTTAGGACGGACTGGTTCTTATATCATGCTCTGTACAGCATACCTTACATCTGCATGCTTTCTATCTAACATCACTCTCAGATGGTTCAGTATCTTGCCTAAAGATACTTTGGCAGACTAGAGCAGCCTGGGATTGAACCACCAACCTTTCCTGCGCTGCCTCCTGAGCCACAATCTTTTAATCCCAGCCTCTCTTAAACACACTGCAGCTCGCAGTCTTCAATCGCAGGCTCAGAATTTGTTCATCTCTTCAGAGACTGAAGAACACGGAGGACGAAACCTTTCAGTCTGTGAATATTTCTATTCTTTTGGTTTTGATTTGATAGTTTTTACAGTTTTTTTGTACTTTGTTGTGCATGTCTGTGAAAAACACTTCATAAATAAACTAGACTTGCTTACTAAAACTCAGATATTGCCACAGTCCTCCTTCATAATAATGCCAAGATGGTGGACGTGTCAGCTGACCAGCTCCCGTTAAGTGAAACCAACATTTCACAGTAACGGTTGCAGATGTGCGACATGTGCGGACAGATGCTCGCTTCCTTGAAAGTGAACAGCGGAGCTGTTTTGTGTAACGTTTCACAGACAGACAAAGCAGATGTCTTTGCATCGTTGAACTGAACGATGATGAGCTGGACTGATTCACTCACAACCTCTCATCTGCTTAGATTTAAGGGTTAAGGATAAATTTAGTCTTGTATCATCAGCGAATAGTCATTTAAAGGAAAGCAGTATGACAATATGAGCGCTGTACCGTATGTGTCTCCACTGCAGTGTTTGCTGTGGTTTTAAAGTCTGTTGAGACAATAGAAGTGTTGGTGAGTGCTCGAGACACTGCTGTGTTTATGCTCCTGTTACAGTCGTGTTTTTGTTCAAAGCTGTGTTTGATTGAGACTGAATAGTTAGCGTTTTGCACCAAACTGAATGCAGTTATTTAGCATGTGGTTGGACCTCCACCCACCATCCATCAGGTGTGGCTCTGCGGGGCAGCATTCTAAGCAGCCGCGACCACTAAAGCACAGCTTGGCCTTTCACATCATTCAGGAACCATCAGAGTAGAAAATTGCTCAGAGGCTTTGTATGCATACGGAGATCTTCCCGCATCCTAAAAAGGCGACTTCATCATTCACCTTTCAGCCAAACCTAAAAGTCTGTGATACGTCGAAGTTACTTTTTCAGCATCTTTTTAAACAAGTAATAAAACGTCGAGCTACATTTGGACCAAATCAAATTAACAAAATCAGTGATTCCCAAATTGTGGCCCGCAGCCCCGCAGCGGGCCATGAAGGTACTGCAAATGGGCTGCATGAAGTCATTACAATAAACACTGACAACAATAGAAAAATCTAGTAATTCTCATAAGATTTTAAAATTAGAAGGAGAAAGGAACATATGATCTTTCAAACTTGGATACGAGGTAATCAGTGAGGATGAATCTGATGCAGGTGCAGAATTAGATTAAACGGATTATCATCTGATGTCATCCTACATGAAAACCCTTCAAAATAAAATCCTCTGGGATCAGTTTCAAAAGCAACTTCTAGTGCTGAAGGGCTTTTTTTACTTACAATTTAAAGCTTCCTTGAAATCTTTACATGATTCTTCCTTTTCTGATTTTTTATTTTAAATCCTGATTTAGGATCATAGTAAATTTAAATCTCCTGCTTGTGTATTAATCAGAGTAGACTGAAGGTTTAAAGACGAGTGTTGGTGATTTTGTCCAACACTGTGATTTTGGAGTAAAGGCTCTCTTGCTTATACGTGTACTGGTGTTTTATTTCCAGTGTTTTTGAGGGTGCTGCTTGTTTGCAGTGGAGCTGCAGCTCTGATCTCACCTTTCTTTGGATTTTAAGGTTGAATAGATGTTTTAATGGCTCCAGGCGCAGCTTTGAGGATGCTCATTACATTTCCTGCGGATTAATCTCCGTCCCCTTGATGGCTCTGAGCTTTTCCTCTATTACATGACAAAATTACACTTGATGAATCATGAAAACTGCTCCCTTGATGAAAGGCGGGTTGGGATAATCCCCGCGGCTCTTTGATATTTGATGCTGTGGGTTGTTACCGCCTCATCTGCTCTGAACTCGCTCCCTGCTGGAAAATAGACGCCGTCATGCGAGATGGTATTAAACGCATCCCCCTGTAATGGTAATAATAATAATATCATAAGATGATAACGCGTTGTCTCTGTTTCCATTTGGCCAATAAGCTTCGGGAGCCTCTTCACACGTTCAGCTGTGTCTGATAGAAAAGCGCGTGAGCCGTGTCGCGTGTTGATGGTGGAAAACGGCGCCTGCGGCGTTAAGGGCACGGCGGCGCTCACCGGAACAGAAGCTGATGTGAGCTGGAGGTTGTTTTTGAAATGAAATCAGGTTTCTGTTCTGGAAAGATGTGCACAAATAATAATAATAAAAGCTAAGTATGAGGGGAAAGTGATGAATAAAGAGTTTCACAGCCAGCAGAGCAAAACAGACGGCGCGCTGAAATTAAAACGAGTTTTTTGGAGAAACAACAAGCAGAGTGTCACAGGTGAATAACGGCACACTTTTCACAGTACAAGCTCTCATCTCTGCTCCTCAGTAACAGTGTACAACAACAACACCATGGCTCCTCCTTTACAACCCGTCTTTACTTTTAAGTGAAGCTGAATTTATTCAGACGTTATAACTGTGTTTAAACAGTCACAGGTTCTGGGTTCGTGTGTTGGAAGAGCAAACAGGTCAAGGTCTGGTTCACCAGTACTCAGTGTGGCACAGAGGGCCTATTCTGCTTCACCTGCAGCATGAAACAAGCTGTTTTAGCTCTCTTTGAGGCACCAGATAAACAGAAGGTGGGTGGGACTTCCTGTGCCTGATATGACCATATTCGGGAAATCTCCCCTCTTTGACCTCATACAGAGTTAAGAGTAGAAACAAACCCTGCATGTATCGTAGTTCAGGCCTTGAACTTTTGGATCAGAGTGAATCACTGTGACCTGAGCTTTTGTTTTACTGAAAACTTTCACCACCAGGTGTTGGATCAAGGACACACCTAAAACCTGCAGGACTCCGGCCCTCGAGGCCTGGAGTTGGACACTGCTGGCCTAAGGTTTGGTCCCACATAAAAACACTGGTCAGCAACCATCTGGTAATCACTAGTTGCAAGGGAAAATTGCGTCTTTCCCCACTAGTTGATGATTGGTTTCTATTGAGAGTGCGATTGCTTTTTTGCTGGCAGATTCCTGCAGTTGCTCATTTCCTTTCTCAGCTGCAGCGACGCTCGAGAAATGTGACAAACCAGAAATGGGGAGTGCTCACCTTCAAAGTAAAAGCCGCATTTCTTGAAATGTGCTTTCAGTGGTAACACACACTCCCGTCAAAGAAGAAGTTGCAATCACAACAAAGTTTTTGGTGCAACAGTTGGCTTCCCATTAGCGACTGCCAGCAACCCGTAGGTTCCACCCAGTGGTTTCCAGATAGTCACCTACTGGTTGGGAAACAACATTTTCCCGTAGCGACTGTTTATTGAAAGGGGGTCCTGTCTCAAAATGACCCCTAAGGAATCTAATGTGTGTGTTCTTTTAAAAAAAAGCTCCATATAGCTACATGATACCAGTGTGTGATTTTTGTAGAAAATTGAGCTAATGCCTCCGTGAATAATACTGGTACATTTTGGTATATCTCACTGCTCACTGCACCGTCTTTTGGTCCAAAGCGATTTACAAAAAGTGAAAAGAAACAGATTAATAATCATTATTGTTTAAAGGCACACTCATACTTAAAGTTTTTCTTCTTTGTGTCTTTCAGACGACGAGGGCTCGGGCTCAGACGTCGGGAAGAAGTTCACCAAGTGCAGCACATGCAAATACGGAGCAGAGTGTGACGAAGACTCGGAGGACGTCTGGTGAGTGTTCGACTCGTAACATTCATACGAAGCTCACCCACGAGGTTTGTGTAAATACAAACTGACACCAACAACACCAAAGCTTCACTTTTTGTCTCCTGTTCTGTTTGTGTGCGGCAGCCAATCATGTAGAGTTAGCTTACAGCTTGTTTCAGACAGGATAAACTGAGGCCCGGTATGAGATAAAGAAGGATTATTTGGGGCTGTCAATCATGCAAAGCTGCTCTAGGAATAAAATATATGACACTGGAAAAATCCACTTAAATAAACTGAAGTGAGGCTTTTACAGACTTACACAGAGAGAGATTTACAAATAAGATCCGTCTCCAAGGCTGTTTGACTTTTGTAGTTGAGGTAAATAAAGGTCCTGATTTCTATGTGAGCAATATATTTGCTTCTCTCTGTGAGCTTTCCTCCATATTTTTACCTATAAGTTGTTTTTTAAGGGAGATATTCTGATCTGATTAAGGAGAACAGGCTTTTTATACTGTATCGATTGCAATCCCCTTCCAGGCATATTGGGCTACATAAATGAACTCGACTTGACTTATTAAGCGTAGCGAAACAAGACTATAAATCGACTGAAATAAGAGTCAAAAAGTTCTTTTTTTAGGTCCCACCATTGAACTCTGGGAGTAAATTTGAAACCATTAATCACGAGTGAAGGAGTTCTTGAAAGGGATTGAAATTAGTTCTTTGTATCTGCAGCCGGTCTGTGGAGGACTAATGAGCAGCGTCTTCGTTCCTCTAAACGCACTTCAGTTAATGATTGTGTGGCAGAGACGCGTTCAGACTGAAGACACAACATTTATTCTCCTGACTCGACTCCTCTCCTCCCTTCAGGTGCATATGTAACATCGACTGCAGCGGTCACAATGAAAACCCGGTGTGCGCCACTGACGGAAACTCCTACAACAACCCCTGCCTGGTCAGAGAGGCCTCGTGCATGAAGCAGGAGCAGATCGATGTCAAACACCTGGGCAGGTGCCCCGGTAAGACCTAACGAGATTACACGATTGCATTACACGAGCTCTGTGGGCAGTTTAAAGCTGCTCAGGTTGACGCGTTGAAGCTAATCTCATCTTAAATCACAGAATGAGGCTGTAACTGTAACTCGTTTATAAATGACTGCGTGCTGAAGCAGAGGTGGTGATACAGTAACACGATGCAGTTTTATCAGGCTTGTTGCAGCTTAGAGTTCAGCCCCTCTAAGGCCTGTTTAAGTCTGCAGAGAAGCCCGTCGTCCAACCCAGACTGTCTGCAGTCCTGTGAAGAACTACACCCGCGATGCAGTGCTTTGTAGATCCTCCTCCAGCAGCAGTAACTTCTGCATGATGTTATCAGTCTTTCACGCTCTTCTTTACGGCGTCACTTCACTTCACTGGTTTTTGCAGCATTTGTTTATGCACAGCTCTCCTGAGGTGTCATATTACAATCAGGCTGAGGTCAGGACTTTGGTGCATTTTCTTTTTCAGCCATTTTCTTGGAGATTTGCAGCTCAGCTTGGGATCATTGGACCGTTGCATGACTTACTTTTAGCCAGCGTTTAGCTGTCAGCCGCACGGCCTCCTGACTCTACAATACTTTGGTGTACAGAGGGGTTCAAATCATCACCCTTCCCCAACCATGCTGGCAGTCTCAATAGGTATGTCCCAATTCCTTGGCCGCATCCTTCGGAGACCGCATTTGTCAGCCTATTACGTCACAGCCAGGCGACGAAGGCTGCTCCAAACGTGGCAGACAAATGCCTCCTTCATTTCCCCAGATTTAAAGGATGGGTCGGGTGTATCCTTCATGGCCCAAACTATCCCAGAATTCATAGGACAGCCAGTTCCAGTTTCCAACAATGGTGGCAGCTAATTAGTTTAAATATTACTCTTATTAATCTTTCTGGGTCACAAAATAAACTTTTAGAATGTAGCCGTGTAAACTCCAAATATCTGCTCAGTTTATCAGGACATCACGTATTTGCAAAAGTGCTCCGACGTTTTCGTGTGTTACCCACCAGCTCGAGAGCTAGCCGGGGATTCAAGCCTCACTAGAGCCGGCGAGAACAGCGGACTCCTGGCACATCATTTTTAGACCCCTGCAGTCTTTCTCTACTCAGGTTAAGCATGATATATAAGTCACTTAGATAACTTAAAAATGTTCTTGTTTGGCTGTGTTAGTGTTTTATTTCCTCCGTCCAAAGAACATCGCTCCAGATGTTTTTGTTCCATGTTTTTTCCTCCTGGAAACGCTTCCAAACAACTGATTCTTGTTCAATCTTCTAATTGTCTTGTCATGAACTTTGCCTTTAACATGCTGAGACCTGTAGAGGGTAAAATGAAGCTCTTTGGATTTTGTGCGCGTTCTTTGAGAACAGCATGGCGTGATCTTGAACTCCTGAGAAGATTGTGTTTTGTTAACACACACCTGAATCTCCAGACCAACAAATCTGTCACTTTTATAGAGGCGCTCAAACCTGCTCGTGATCAGTTAATCAGGTGCATTGATTAGGAGCACCTGGCTGCCACTTACCTTCTGGCACATGTGGAGCTGACAGAGAAAGACGAAATAAAAGCTGCTCTCAGTTTCTGTCACGCTACGTTAGCTCTCCCACCAGCAAACAGAGCACTGAACTGAACCGAGCGGCTTGTTACTGATATACGATCCACTTATTTGAGCCGTGATTACACCAGTGTCCATATTGAGAATTGGGCCTCAGTTTATTGTTCAGTGTTGCGTTGCTACACTGACAATAAAGATTCTGGTATTAGAGCGATATTCTCAGTGTGCTAGCTGAAGATTTTGTTTAAAAAATGTGAGTGGGTGGCGTCACTTTGGCTGTGTTCCTGTTTTGCATGCAAATTTGAATCCAGTGAGGTGTTTGAACTTTTAAATGGCGCATCATACTTTGGTCATTCCACTGGTGCAGGTGCACGGTGGGTTAGAAGCTGCAGCAGAGCTGTTTTGTTCTGACTAAAAGCAAAATGGTTGCTGACTCCTAAGATGAGGAAGAAATATTGAGTTTCTTGGGTTTTTTCAGTTGCATAAACAATCCTGAATAATTGGTGTGATTATCTGCATGAAGAGAGAGTTATTTAAGTGTGTGTGTGTTTCCATGATAAGACTGCGTCAATGCCTCGTGTTTTCAGCTGTTTCTGACAGTGGTGGTGCCCTGTGACACCGAGCGATGAGATACCAAGCTGTGATTTTGGTTTTGTTTGCACGTGAAAATGTAAAACATCTCCGAGCGTCTGTTTTTTAAGCTTTTGATTTACCTCCATCATGGTGGCGTACGCCTCCACCCACAGTCTGTTCAGCTCTCTGAGCTCTCTGTCATCACGCTGTTTCCTGACGTGCATGAGCGACTGGATTCAAAGCTCCACGTGCAGCTTTGTGGCGGCCGGCAGGAAGCGCTGTGTGAATAAGTGACGCCAACACCTTTTTCAGCCAGTGAGGAGAGCGGATCTCTGGAGACGATCGTGACAGAAAATGGAGGGTTTTGATAAACAGACGTCCCTCCTGTGTGACAGAAATGAGGCATTCAGTGTCACACAAAGCAGTAATTATGGTTCAGTTTCCTTTTTTTTTCTAATAACCTGACCTGCAGCAAACACAGCGCTGGTTTGTGCTCCACGTGTCCACAGAGCTGATCAATGTTCAGAAAACAAACACCGACTGACCTTTTAAAGACACTCAAGTTGAATGTGAAGGCGTTTCGATGATACCCAGAGGCTTGTTTAAGCATCGAATAAGAAACAGGAGGAAGTTGAATCCATTTTTCATAATAAACCTGAGGAGGCTTAAATAGTCAGAGAAACAGATTTGCAGTTTACCGAGTCTGAAGTCACAAATTCACAGGAAACGAATCGTTCACTTTGCAAAGCTGGATTAACCTCATCAGGCACCATCACCGACTTTACAGACTGATTGATTCCTCATGTTTCGGTTTCTTTGAAGAGACATTTTAATGCTGTGTTGGTTTTTCCTGTTACTCAGAACCATTTGATGAACCTAAAGTTAGCTTGTTGACGCCAATTTTCATTTCTGAGTCTGAATTCTCTCAGCTGAGTTCTGAGATCAGCTGATCTGCTTACAATAATTAAGTCTGACAGTATAAATGCGCATTAAATGCAGCTGTCAGAAGGATAACTATCACAGGTTACTATGAAGAAAAGCTAAAACCTGATAAAGTGATCTTATTCATGCACACATGAGACAATCACATCATTTAAAGCATTTTTAAATAACTTCTAGTCAACAGCTGGCCTCTCGTCCTCGTGACTCCGTGGACCAAACATTTGTGGCTTTGGTACAAAAGACGTCGTGAGATGAAGTCTCGATGAGGAGCTGAAGCCTGTAGTAAACCCTCGCTGCTCGTCCCCCGTGGCTCAGCGAAGCTTCTGCTGATGCTTCCATGATGATCTGTAAATAGTCTGAGCCGCTCCGACGACCTTTGACCTCGACTGCAGCGAGTCGAGAGCAGCTCTCAGCTTCGCCGCTCTGTGTTCAGACAGAAATCCGCCCACTGACGGCTCCGCGGCTGTTTGATCCGATCCAGATTGGAAAATCTCACCGAATCTCAGAAAACGGTCGCCATCAGCTGTGTGGATTATGAAATAAGCTCGTTCTTCAACAATAACCCGCCCTGAAAGGAAAAACACTCTAAATGGATGAAACGAAGAAGTTTAGTGCTCATTTCACTTCTTTGTATTTGACTCTTCTTTATTTTCCTCACTGAACTTTTCTTTTCTTCCCAGATTCGTTTTTTCGTCCTTCCATTAATCACACTTTCATGTTCTTCTTTTGTCTTCGGCCCTTTCTCTCCTTCTTTCCTGATGTCTTTGATCTTTCTTTCAGAAATGTAAGCTTTCCTCTTTTTATTTCTCTTCCTCAGTTTTAACTCCTTTCTTTTTCCATCTTTTTTTACTTTCTTTACTTTTTCCTTCTACGTTCTTATATGAGTCCACTTCTCTTTCTGTTTAGTCCTTATTGCTTCATTTGACTGAAACCTTGTTCTTCATTCCTTTGTTTTTCCAGCTCACTTTCAAAAACTTGTTTAAGTTGAAGACCGTCACTGCTGCTGTTTAAATCTTCCAGCTTGAGCGTTATTCCTCTGGCTGCAGACGTGGGTCATTACTTCACATTGACTTGCTGATGTAGTAAAATGCAGGACTGATGGCGTTCAGGGCTCGCTGAGTACTGCTGACTGCACGACTGTGACCGTTTCATAAATCAGCCTCGTTATTGAAACCGTGTCAGACAAATTAATGCATCTAATCACCGGTGTTTTCAATTAAGAAACAAATCAAGCGAGCAGGAGCCGCAGTTTTAATCCGCAAGAAATTAATCCACACCTTGTTAACATCCTGAAATAATCTGACACGCAGGGCCTGCTTGGCACCAACAGCAGGTTTAAATAACATCAGTCAGAAATACAGAGTTAGTTTGTTGTACTGCAACTTTAAGTACAGTGAACAGACTCAGAGACTTCAAGTTCAGATCAGTTTCACCTACAGAGTAATATGAGCCATAACCTATGAATTTAAATCCAGTGTTTCTTAGCTGTACAGTATTTTCATTTTATCAATCGCTAATAGAACAACTCTCAAATTTCAAAAGGCCATAGTTTGTTATAGCCTAGCTTAACCAACAGAATTCATTCTGCCTTGAAGTACTCGGGTAAAACTATCAGGTAAAGCTATAAGACAATCAAAACAACAGAAATGCAGGGAGACTTCAAAGCTACCAGAAAACTCGGAAAACTATGAGAAAGAGTTCCCAGCTGTCTGCAGCTTCTTCCAGCAAAATCAAACAGGAAGTCTGCAACAACACCACCAAAATAATAGACTTTATATGAATCGCATAACCCGTAGGGATGTTCATGGCAAATATTTTAAAAGTCATTTAAATGAGAGGGAAATAAATCACATTAGAAAGAAGAGGTACATGGTGCTGCAACCAAAACCCTCCTTACAACTGCCTCGGTCACTAGCAGGTTGCTGTG